CACAAGCATTATGAAGAACAAAATTGGAATTCAAAAGGATCTTGCTACATGGGAGACAAAGTCTGGAAGAAGTGTAATGCAGTTCTCTTTCATCTGCGAAGTGCTGCACCTAGTTTGGGGCAAAAAACCTGTAAAACTATATAAGGAGAACTGGTTCAGCACGTAGCACTTTTTTAGTAGATAATCTTGCAGTGCAGTGTATACAAATTCAGCAAGAGTCAGTAACGGTATACTATGGAAATTCAAACAGGTTATGCAAACAGAATGGTTATGGGGTACAACGGTTACTCCAACCTGTATTAGATAAACCCAGCAGCACTACATTGTGCTGCTCCTTTTTTTTTCTGGAATAATTGCAACATATAGAGGAATATAATGACAGATGGTATAAATCCGGCTAATGCTAGCAGCTAAACCTCCAGTCTGGAGAGCATCTTTCTTTGCCTGGCTAGAGCACTATGTTCCCCAAGAGCCAGATAAAGACTTAATCCCTAACACTGACTTGGGGCCACAGGTATGCAACAATATCCCGAAAAGCAATGAACTCTCAGGAGCCCTCTAGTATTAACCACTCTTGATTAACCCTCAGCAGCCCTCTAATATTAAGCACTCTCAGCACTGTACATAGATCTTGCCCAGAGTTTGAAGAAAATTATATTTAACCTCTATCTTAAAATGGGAAATGTGATTGATAGAGAGGCCTCATCAGAGATAAGACAAAATTTTATCCAAATAAGCTGACTGCCATTAAGAATGCAGATATTGAGGTACTTCTGGAGAACATGGAAGTGACTCAAGCTCTGTCCATCTATGTTTAATCATGAGGGGTGACATAGCATGCAGTAGAAAATAGCAACTTTTACTTAGTTTTTATTCAGCTGCATGCAAGATAATTAGCTCTCAAAAAGTTTCAAACAGTTTTCACTGCAGTGGAGATTCACCACAAGTCTGGGTGCAGTTCAGAAATTGCACAGGAAAATCACCTCCATTTCAAAATAAGGCAGTACAAATTGCAAATGAGGAAAAAATAAAAACCACAACAAATATTCCTTAAAGAATGAGACAGTTTTTTACCTGGAAAAATGTAAAGAATTGGCATTCACAATGAAGCTTTGTCAATTTGTGAATATGATTTTAAGAATAATATGTTTACAGGCACCAAAATTACTGAGTGCTTCAAATAAGCTTGAAGGATTTGTGAAAAATTGTACCATTTAATTTTGAAGAAAATCCCCACAGAGTTCTAGTTTTCTTAAAGAAAATTATTAAATAGTAACTTTACATTTACATTTGAGTTAGAATGTATTACATGAGACTTCAGTCCTAAATCCCCAGTGGATTAAAGGGATATTTTACTCTTAAAGACCAACAGGACTGAATTACAAAAAAAATCCATACCTGAAGTCATAACAGCATTTGCCTATTTATTTGCTGTTATTTCTATGTTGAACAGGGGATGGCAGCATTAAGTGTCATATCATAACTCAGCTGAATTGTATTCAAAGAACTCTCTTCTTATTAGGAAGCGTAAAACAAATGTTCGTGATTAATTAGCTTTATTTTAAAATTATATGTAAGTCCTCATTCATGTACAGATTCCTTCATATAGATAGAAATTGAAATCAGAATGAAGCCTTAGGAATGAATTAATTTTGGACATTAGGAGATGTGTCAAATATTGCACATAGAATGAAGTGGGAACATAGAAATTAAATCTCCAGCAGATACTGGCTGCAGTTGTCCAAAGGATCCAGCTATTTGCCCATTCAGGAAAAAAAGAAAAAAAAAATGTGGCAGCATACTTACGAGATCAAACTAGTCAGAGTTGAGAGACATTATAGCATACTCAGTTGTTATATTCTATTTTTTTTTGGCTTAATAGCTTGAAAAATGCATTTATTAGTATATAACAACCCTTTTTGTAACAGTTTGCCATACACACACTTGGCAAGAAGACTACAGACCATTCAGACTGATGCATTTTTACAAGCTACCACAAGATGTCTCTAATTGACCAGAATCTTCAATACTTCAACCCACAAGGTGGTATTTTCATATCATCTAAATCTGATATGCACTCATTACGTTATCAGGACACACATATTTGGTGTTACCTGTTTACATATTTAAAATAACTTTGGAATCGCATATTTCAAATGCGTTTTAATTAAGATACCATACTGTATTGGCTAATGAGCTTTAAAAAAATTGTAATTACTAACTCCGTTGAAATCGTAAATAATAAGCAATTTCGAGGCATATTTCTGAAAAGTTTTGATGTCATTGGGAATAGCTCAATTAAAATACTTCTAAAGTAGAGGAAAAATTATAATGCCACAGGATTTTTTTTTCCTTATAAAGACTGTGTGAAGAACATTATACTGAAACTTATGCCTTGGTATAACTGATGGTATGGCATATGTCAATTACATAATGGAGAGATATTGAACTGTATATTATATACACAGGGTTAAATTGGGAGTAGATACTCCGACAATAGCTGCAGAGGAAGTGGGTTTATCATTTTTTTATATTTGTTTCACCCTTTGCTATTTCTTGGGGTGGGCAGGCTGTGGATGCTTCAGCATGCTCCACTTTGCAATGAACAGTTAGATTCATTGAGGTAAAGAGTTCAGCAGTTTGGAAACTCCTGTAGGAGAAAAGAATTAAATACTAGCTCTGTTTCTAAACACTTTGAAAAATCTAATAGCGAAATCTAGATAACTTTTTTTTTTAAGTAAACACATGGTCTGCTGTGACTTCCATTGGGCAGCAATGCATCTGAACTTGGGTACAGTAATACTGTTGTCTTACCGCTCTACAGATACAGACCTAACCTACTTCTGTTTCACGTGCCCGAATTGAAACAGCCTGCGAGACACCATTTTTCAGAACAGCAGTATTTTGAAAAATCCAGGAAAACAAACGAACAGCTCAGCCCTCTAAGTGTATCATGCTGGTAAACCATAATTTATGAAATCCATATTAACTTGCTACCTATTGAAATTCTTAGTTAAATAAATGTAGTTATTTGTCTGTTATACTTCTGCTATATGCACTTTTTCTCTAGAGATGTTAGTCTTACTCATAAAGTATTTCAGATGCACGTTTCCTTACATCATTAGGGGTCTTCTCCTGTTTCTCATGCTTTTCCCGGTCATAAGCCATTTTTTTCAGAAGTTTCTTCATAGCTTTATCCTTTTTCTCCTTCTTCTGGCTTTCAGTGTTTTGTTTTCTCACTTGGTTAACGATAAACTTAGGAATCTAAACAAATAAAGACAGGAAGTATAAATATCTACATAATTTCCTTAAATATCCAACTTACCAAAACTTTGTAAATGGACAGTTTATCAGGTAAAACTCAAGAAAGAGTATTATTTCCAGTAATAATTAAAGATTCAAATAACACAAAGCTGTGAAAAAAAAAGAAAAACATTCCATTTTTGCTGTTATATTCCATTAATTAAGGTCTCAGGGTAGGAGAAATGGAATCTTGCAATGTTTTTACCTTCCTCAGTCAAAAATACTCACTCAACATCTAGTCTGTGCAACAGACACAATAACTTTTCCTCATATTCAGCAAAGGTCAAAAATGCTTTAAGTTGCTGATGGACAACGAAGCCCCAACTTCTCCAGTCTATTTGAGTTTTGGTTGAGACCATGACTCAACTTCACGTTTTATCAAAACTTGTTCTATATAAATACAAAATGTGGCCCAAAAGGGAAATGGACTAGAAGTGCTGTTTCCTGCTAATATCTCTAAGCAGAAAAGAATAAATTCCTCATAACAATGTATACTGATAAGCCAAATACAAAGATCCCCAAGGACTTACTTCTGAGTTCACATATGGTACATACAATATTAAAACTCTGACCATCAGAGCTTAACTCTACCAATAAAACATAATGGTTCTGTTCTGCTCCTGCAAGAGTTACCTATGAGCAAGAACTCCGCTGGATGGGGCTGATCTTTCCCTAAATTATGAAAATAAGTTCATATTACTTCTTTGTTCAGATGCCTTGTTTGTGAAATTTTTGATTTCTGCCCCCCCTTAAGAATACACTTACTGTCCAGAGAAGTTTTTGGTACTGAATCAGGAAGCGCATGACATTTGCTGTTCCAGCTGCCATAACAAACTCGCTTTGTTCAATAGTCTTTGAGCCAAGCCCATGAAATGTGAAAAGGTTTGGGGCCATCACCATCGCAACATTCTTTAACGTCATTTTATTTTTGTCTCGATGATCAATTACCCTTTGGAGAAATTCAAGCAGTACCTGAAATAACAGCAGAACTTACAGCTCAACTCTGCACATGAAAAAGTTACATGTTTTTTGAAAAAGCTCTTCATTCCTAGTAAAAGCAATCAATAATTGTAAATGAAGATACTTTTGTTCACAGGACTTTAACACAAGTTTTGTTTCCTTCAAGTAATGAAGTAGGTAATTCTTGTTATTTTTGTGGATAATATTTAGCATTCAAGTTACTTCAGTTAAATAACGGCTAGTTATGCAAGGTAAGCAATTCACGAGTAAACCACTGCATTGTGAATGACAGGTAGCCAGTTACAATATGACAATCTTCAATTAATTCTGTTGCAGATTATTTCTAACTCAACTTAGGAGCCCTCCTGACTGCTTCCACACAGTAAATAAACTTGAAAGTCATGTTTAAACAATAAACCTTATAGTATTTCTTTTCTTGTAACAGATGTTCTGCATCCAACACAAATCCTGCAAATTCCTTTCTGATTGTGGCAATTTTAATAGTAAACATATTCTGAAAAAGATTAATAGTTCTGCTACAAAAGGAAAAGCCCAAATTGGAACACTCCAGGCAACGTGCTGTAAATACCAATAGAAGTGTAAATTTCAGCTCATTGAGAGTAGAAACAGCACAGAGAAAACTGGGGAATAAAAATGAAGAGCTAAACATATTTCATAAAAGCAAGCTCTCATCCATAGTATTCTAACACTTTAGTTTTTTGCATTGGAAATTACTACTGCTGGAGGAAAAAAAAGGAAAAAAACTTTTTAGAGAAAAGGTCACTCACTGGGAGATTATTATTGCAATCTCCTGGAAAAATTTCAAGTCACATTCTTAAAAGTCATTTGGGAGGAATTAGGGTCCTAAGGGGTTTTTCCTGAAGTTCTGTGAAATATTAAAAAAGAAAGAATCACTAGTTTCAGTATTAACTTTGAACTGAAAAAAGAACATTAGAAGACAACAGCATTCATTACAGTGGATTTACAGAAACAGACAAAATATTTGTGCAGGAAAAAAGTATTAGTAATTCTGACCTTCAGAGTGTCTCTATTTGCTTCAGGTAGAAGGAGAACCAAAAGATTCAGAGCTTGCAGTTGCTGTTTCTTCGTTGGAAGATCTGCCAGTGAAGCACATGAACGTTAGTATTTTACAATTGTCACTTGTCCTCTTCAAAAAGCATGATTTCAAGTGGAAATCTCTTGCAAAACGCTGAATGCACACACATGGTTAATAGCATAGCATGACAAAGGACTGGCAGATCCTTGCTTTCTGATACTCATTTCCAAATGTTCTTTTAGGATTCAGTTGCCATATGACTCAGCAGTCTTCTGGCAGTATTTTTCTAGACGCCTTGTGAAGAAGAAATAGTCCACTAGAGGTTTCCTCCCTTCTCCAGCCTGTGCCTCAATATATGAAAGGGTATATTCAAAACTGCGTTCACAGTTTCTCTTATTGCCTCAACAGTTGCATGGTCTCCCAAGCCATCCATGCAGAATGAATGCCACGTGTTGCTGAAGAAGGCAGGTCTCCAGCGACATGCAGCAGCAGCTGCAAAGGCAAACCAGCAGGGATAAATCCAAGCACAGAGAAGCTTAACGTGTATCTACAGCAGGGAGTGCCGTACCAAATGCGGCAAGCTATAATTACAGGGGAAGTTTAGGATATTAGGAAAAAATACTTCCTCGAAAGGGTGGTGAAGCATTGGAATGGGTTGCCAAGGGAGGTGGTGGAGTCACCATCCCTGGATCTGTTTAAAAAACAACTGGATGTGGCACTTCAGGAGATGGTTTGGTGTTAGGGCGGTGCAGGGCTGTAGGTTGGACTTGATGATCTTAAGGTCCTTTCCAACCCTGATGTTTCTATTAAGCTATGGTTCTAAAGTGATGTTGGTTCTTTTACCCAATTGCTCAGCAGTGCGTCATTCACCCAAGATGCAGGGTGAGTGCATTCCTACACTCCTCCATCTCCGAGAAGAGCTCCTACGTTCTGTCAGAGTTGAGCAGTAGAAAGCCTCAACACTCTCGCAGTTGTCACCTGTGATAAACTTCCTCCTGCAGTGCTTTAGAGGACATGCTCTGGCAAGTTTTCTCAGCAGATTCCTAACCCATCAGGCCGTACATAAATCAAGTGAAGATGGAGGTACGTGCACTTGACATAGTTTTATTACACTATTTCAAAATTCAGCAGGGCTCTTCTCATGTATCCTGCTATTTCAATTGAACTGCTATTTCAAATACATTTCATTCAAATCCGCTTGGGAGATACCGCAAAATAAAAAAAAGTTCACCGATAAATAAAAAAAGCACCTTGTTGACCATTTCCTACTATAATACAAACTAAGGATCTGAATGAGTGACAAATTATATAGCCATTTAAAACATGCAAGTGGTGATAACTGAATCTGTCTGCTCTAGGAAGACATACATTAAAAGTAAGGCCTAAATTTAGTTCCAAAACACCAGCTACAATGTTTAAAAAGCAATGGGAACCAGCTTTTTCTTAGGAAAGTAAACTAAACAACTAAAACTAAAACAACTAGAATTCATTACTTAAATCAAGGTTTTCTGTCTGTTCACCTAAATAATGACTGAATTGTAGTTGTTTCAATTACTTAAATTAGCATATTAAATTTTAAAAATTTATTTAAATATTTAATTCTATCTCCTACTTAGTCACAGTATCATGAAAAACACTACCACACAGATGTCACTTTTTTCTCTAACACCTAATCTTACTACATGTAACCAAGAAGATGAGCAGGAGACTTAAACAACAGGAGACTGCAAAGTGCTGTGTCTGTTTTGTATCAAATCCTTTGGCTCAATGCAGAAAGTGGTTTTGGATTTTGGCACCAGAGTATTTTCTGGGTAAGTAAAACCACATAAAACCTTCAGACTGCTCAGGAGTGGCAAGCAAAAACCCTCCTGGGTCCAACCACTATCTGCTAAGTTTAACAACCTTGAGGAGCTGTTTGCTGCCAACATCAGTTGAAAGCATTCTGAACACCTCTGACTTACCGCTCAGTGCTGCAAAATCAACACCACTACGCAGCAGGCCTAAGCACCAGCCCCCTACTCTCACCAGTTTAACGGCCCTGAAATGCAGCTCACAACCTGGAGATGAACACAGCCCACAGTTTTTGAAGAATATTCGTCTGTCTGCCTGTCCATAGGAATTCCCTGAAAGCGTCCTTTAGAAATGAGCCATCACTCTTGTCTGCAGACAAGGGGAACAGATTTTTCTGAAACCTGTGCTCCTGTGTTGGCTGGGTAATTAATATTTGTGGGTTCTCACAACTGATTCATTATCACCAAGCCGCTCTCTTTCAATTACAGCTGGTATGTTGCTGTCTTGGTGACCAGCTGGCAAGGAGGACGTTTTCAAAGAAACTCACTGATCTCAAGGGACTAAGGATGATCTGCAGTTCCAAATATTCTGCTCTTAACTTTTCTTATTGTAAATGGATAAAATACCCTGAACAGTATTGATTACCATTTGTTAGATTTTCTGCAGAACTACTGTATCTCTGCTGTTGTTTCCTTTAAGAAGCAAATATTGTTTATAAACTGACATCGTCATGCACTATTTCCTCATAACCCACCTACACCTCCTAAAGACTATCAGGAACATCGTAGGAGAAAGTGGCAGTGTGCTTTCATTTTATGTGTAAACTGTTGAAATAGATGTTACCTGAAAAATCTTATTTGTGCATTAGCAGAAATACGCTCAGTCTTTTCTCAGTAAAAGTAATATCCGTGCTCTTCTCAGTTTCACATATTATTAGCAAAATTATTGCTAGAGCAAGGAGGCACTTCCCTGTGCCAGTATTTGTTCTTCTCAGCTCAGAAAAAGGACACTACTCACTCTGCACATCTTGGAAAGCTTTGAGATATTCTACAGTGAGGAGTGGCTGAGGCAGTTCACGGATGAAGAGTTTCAAAAGACTTGCTGCATCATGTTGCTTTACATTTTCCCAGTTGAAAGTCCCTTCATAAAATTTTGCTTCCAGTTCTTGGCAAAGACTCTGAAAGGCAGTAGATACAGAAAACACCAGTAACACTTGGCTGCTGGAATTATACACAGCAATACCTTCCACACTTCGAAAGGAGGGAAAAAAAAGGGACATCTGAAATATCACTTAACACCAGCTGCTGATGATCTTTTGCTATGAAAAGATAAATTTGCGATGCAAAGCACCTCAAGCAAACACATAGTAATAGGCAGTAGACGGCCAAATCGCATAGGAAGAAATCCCATGGGCCTTCCTCAGGGCCATATGGAATACACTATAAGCATCAGATACCATACTCATTCACATAAGGGTTATGACTTCTCCTCCCTCAAAATATTAAGACATGGCCAATATACACAGCAATTCTGAAACTACTACCCAAAGGGTATTGCTGTAACGCATGCATGGCCATTTTCATAAACAAATACAGTCATCATGCATGTTGACACAGTTTCCTATCAAAACATACACTAAGGTGAGGCTGGTTCTATTTTTAAAAGACAGGGAAAAGATTTGTGTGACTTGACAGCTGGATGTGTTGCCATCTATAAAGAACTCCATGCCACTGGGCACATATAGCTTTGCCTAGGACTGGATGATGTCAAACATCCACTCTACTGCAAAACACAAGGTGACGCAGCAGAATAAACACCACTGAAAGTCTCAGTGATACCTTGTAACTCTGGGGTTGGGCCAGAGCAGGATGATGTTGGCAGCTGGCATTACCCTACACCGGCCCTGCTCCCACAGCAGCGCTATCACGGGGCTTCGAGAGATGCACAAACGTGAATGCGGTGCAGAAGACTGAGTCCTTCCTAGTCTCCCCTTAAGCATCAGTCCTGGCCTTCCATCTACTTCATTTATTTCTCAGCAGCGTGGGCAGTGGCTGCAGCACAGCCCCAGTGGCCCTGAGGCACCTATGACAAGCCCACCCCTTCTCCTTCCTTCAGTTCTTCCAGACAGAAAAGGAGGACAGGAACACTGGCTTGCTTTCTAAAGCATGTGAGATGAAGTGAAGGAAACAAAGCCCTGTGGAAAAATATGGCCTGAATTATTTATCTGGACAAGACGGACACGTTGGATAGAAGACACTAGATAAATTTTTAAGATACCATTCTCATTAAATTTAACTTTGTCCAAATGGAAAATTGATCTTTCTCCAAAGAAAATGGGGACATTTAGTTTGATATGAAAGTTCAGTGTTCTCAATTGTCCTCCAGAGAGATCTGTCTCCGCTGATTACATAGGGGGTTCAAAGGTGCAAAGATCCTAACTCAGATGTCTAAAGTCAAGGGGGTCTGATTTTCTGCTCATCAACAAAAGAAAGCTTTAGATAAAACGATGCAAATTCTCCCTGAGTCTCAGCAGCTCTTCCGTCCACATGTCAACCAAATCACTGTGGCAAATGCAGTATTAAACATCAAGATAAAATGGATTGTTTTATCCAAGAGGCAAGGGCAGAAATGCATTAACTATGCGACCTAATGCAATAACACTTAGAATTTTAAAGTAAATGTGTTTAACTAAGGGGTATATGTAATGCATTTTTTAATAGTAACAAATCTAAAATCTACAGAACAAAACAGCAAAGTATTTTTCTTGAGATTATCTGCACTATTCTCTAAAACTACATAATGAAGAAAGTATTTTCTTTTTCTATAGAGAAAAGTGAGAAAATTAAAGGAAAACACTTGTCCTTTAGTATACTAAATTCTCTGGTTTTCTATAAAATTTTGTATTTGAATAAGTAGAGGTACTTAACAGCCTTCTTAACAAAACAATAGTTTAATATGAAGAAGCATCTCCTGCAAATAAAGTGGCGAAAATAAAAAAATAATGAACATCAAATACTGAATGATCCTCTCCCTGGGAAAACACATTACACTGATAGAATCAGAGAATAAACAAATAAACAACATCAGTCCAAAATCCTTCCAGTTTGCAGTCCTGATGAAAAAAATATCTTAGTTACTGGAAAATAAACAAAGCCAATGTCCACAATACTCTCCCCTTTCAGTTGTTTCTCATGAACCAGCTGCTAGACTGAGTTCCACACAACAGAGGCTGGCAGACGTCTTCAGACAGCTGAATCCACTTAAACAGTCCCTTCCGTTTAGCATTTAAGGCCAGTTCAGACCATCTTTTTAACACATTGACTCTTGGCGTGAATCATGCTGCAGATTTAGTTTCCTGCATTAAGGCAAATACTGGAGAAGAGCCTGCACGTAACTGGCACTCACTCTGCAAAGCTTTAGTGTGTATGGACGTGCCTAACAAGATTGCGCTTAGTGAGCTGTGTAGTTATACTGCTGTTCAGAAAAATAAATGCGAGAGTTTCTTCAGCACATGCTGGCTGTCTTGCCCCATAACATAGGTTAAGTCTAGCTATTAGAACAGGCTCACGATGCCAGAGAAAAGCTTCCTCCTGGGGTAGCAAGACTGTATGAACTGTTCAAATGATTAAGCTGGTTCAGGGAAAAAGCAAAAGGCTGGGAAGCCCATGCCAAGAATTAATGAGATTTTGGCACAACTGAATTTGAAATGTAGCTTGACTCTCCTTCAAACTTGAACTCGTCTTCCCCCCAAAACTACGCTGGATGAAACCATCAACTTTCTGGCTCCTATAACTCAAGTTTCTTTGTAAAGGGACCATGCTATCCGTTTTGGAAGATTCTGATAATGTTCCAGTATTAAAATATATTTATACAACAAAATAAAACTAGCAAACACCGTTAAGTTCTGGAGGATATTGAGAATCTGTGCAATGTTTTACCTTTATTCGCGCTGCAACTCCTGGTATTCTAAGAAGTCCTTCTGTTTCCAGAGTTGCCTCTTCTATCTGGGCAATCAGCTGTCAAACACAAACCAAACTGCATGAACAAAGATGCTAATTAAAATTTACTGGGAAATAGTTCTGATATAGTGGAGCCTTTGTGTATGTATCTCTGTGTGTGTATACGAGTGAGCATGCACTTCTGCACGCACATAGGTAACAAGTAGACACACAATTACAGAGTTTACAAATTAATTACAGCTGTTGTAGAACAAAACCTTTAATGTAGCTCTTACCTGTTTTATGAACAACATTAAAGAAGAGTTTATTTATTCTATTAAAAAAGAAATCTGTATTTTTTAGACCTCTCTCCAGTCTCCTCAGAAGACTGAAGAAGTTTGTTTCCAAAATTACTTTGGATTCAGAAATAAATCCCAACTACTATCCTTGTTAAAATGTCTCTGAATCAAAACAATTAAGGTAACATTAGAGATAACAGTACTAAACTCTTGTTTACAACTTTACCAGAGAAAAACTGAGTACTTTTAGGCTTTAAAGAAGCATCAGGTTTGCAAATATTGGCATTCTCCTGACAAACTCAACAGTTTGCAATCCTACACATGGCCTAGATAAATCAGTAGATATTCGGTAAAAGTACTTAAAACACATCTCAAATTCTGTTTCTCTAAAAGATATGCCTACAGGTATTCACTGAAGAATGGAACTAAAAGCATGCAAAAGAAATTTGCAAACGTCAAAAGCTGATGCCATCATTTTAGCACAAATGGTTCTCAGAATGTTTAACTAGGGCAGTGCCTTTGTCACATACCTTCTTGTGCCAGCTCTTGAATAAGAAAAATTATGCAACGTAGTTGTTTTCTCCAGTTACAGAAATTAAAGGGGGTTTACTACCACTATGTTTATGTAACTGATAAATGCTTTAAAAAAGATGAGACAGAAAAACCCACAAACTTAGAAAACAGCACTAAAGGTGTCATCCTGGTATATTCTCCTTGGTTTAAAAAAAAATTTAAAAAACAAGAAGAAAGAAAAAGTGCTAATTGGCTGCATCCCACACTCATTGTATCCGGCTTACACCACAACAGCGGCTGACACTCTCACCTGCTGGACATGAAGATGCTGCGGGTACATTGCGTGATTTGCCACCATTGCCACGTGTACGGGGAGGCAAGGCCTGGTGGCACCGCTGGCGGCCACGACTCCTTCGCACATGCTCACTCCCAAGTGTCCCCCTGGCAGGCAGCAAGAGGTGGCCATTGGCCATCACTGGCCTCCTGCCTATTGGAAATCCCCTCTTCGTCTCTGCCCGGGCTGCTCTGCACGGCTTCATGAGCCAGCCAGAGACTTGAATTACCATCAGCAGAAACTTTTAGTGGGGATATTACCCTCAGATTTTCCAGTTGGAAACCATGTACGCGAAACTACAACATTATTTTAAACTGTAATTCCTCAATGAAATAAAAACTAGGTGTTATTTTTTATTGAAAGTTTCTTAGCTTTTTTTTTTAATTAAGCAGCCTTCCTGCAAGCTTGGATTGTTTCATTTCAGTGATAACTAAGGTGCATTTAAAAAGCAGTATGCACAAAATGTTTTCTTGCACTTCATATAAAAAAACCTATTCTTGGAAAGAATGAGCAGTACAGAACAAGTGGAAGAAATTTATTTTCATATTGTCATTCAAAGAAAAACTGTATCCCAAATGACGTCTGCACTTTGCAAAACAAATCACATCTATAAGCTAGAAATGTTTATGTAGAATTTTCTTCCTGAAAAACTCTGCTTACTGTGTTGCTAGGAGAGCACAGTGATCAATCACTCTATGTCATTTAATTTTCTTTTCTAGACAGCGTCTTTCCCAGAAATATATTTTTATGATTCTGAGGAAATAATTTCTGGCATGGAAGACCCAGCAATAGCTTTCAGAGAGTGGTGCAAAACTGCTTTGAGTTTTCTGTTTCTTTAAAAATAACTTAATAAGCAGGTCCCCAAACTGAAATGCTGATGACACGGCACTGACTTTCTGTCAGTGTTAGGAGAGATCCACAAACTGTGGTCTCTCCCATCTCATGCAATGAGACCTGTTAGGCATGGATGTTAAATCCAGGATCTCCGTCATCTTTCACATTATCTTCCCCATCACCACAATGTGACACAGGCCAAAGCATCTTCACGTGTACTAAAGCAACGAATCTCCAGGAAAAGTGCTGCTACCGCCACCAGAGGCAGTTATGCAGTCTGACTCCCATCCCCTAGCCACCTGCCTTGTGGCCCAAATCACTTCCGAAAGGAGAAAACCACTCGTAAGAAAGGTTGGTTCATCCCGTGGGCCAGGGATTGAGAATTTCTATGAAAATTCAAGTATTTGCTCTGAAAACTATAAAGGCAGCCCTACTGATGATAGATGCTACACCACCGTTACGAAATGGAATTTGTCTGCAGTGGGTTCTTACACTGACTCTTGGTTTTCCAAGGCTTATTATTAAACTTGCCTAAATCACGGAGATCAGTTGTACCAAAACCAAACTTCATTCCTTAAACTCAAAATACGTCTGATACAATGTAAAGCATCCCATTTACTGAATTAGTAAAAAAAGCAGCAAGTAAAAGTTACGATAACTTAAATTATTAGAATAATATACTGAGAACCATACTACAGGGAGCAAATAAATCCAGGACAAAACATTATTTGTTTGCCATTTGCCAGTATTAATGAGTTGACTCATTCTTGCCTATATACCTTTTGAAAAATGAGGGGGATCTTCGTCCCTGGCACCTTCTTCTGATCCTGTTCCAGTAAAACTGACAGTGGGACACCAAACAAGCCAGAGTCTGAAGAATAAAGCAAAAACACTGGAGATATTATCCACAAATGTTCCAGTACATGTGATAATGGCATAAAACTACATATCTGAAGCAATAAATCTATTCAATATATTCAGAGCTATCGACCTTTTGATCAAAGTGTTTGAATGTCTTCATGAATCAAGTTATTATACAAAGCATTCTGGCTAAAAGGATTCATTCACCTCTTCCTTCAACCATAAATCAGTAGTCTCCTGTTTTGACTTCAAATTGCCATCCACATATTCTGCAGTACAGTGAAGCAAACTGCATAAATGAACCATCTGCACAGTTCTGGTCTGGAGAATGATGATGACCCTGCAATGCAGATCTTCATCATTTAATGCAAGTTATTGTAGTTCAAATGCAACCAACATGAGTAAAATATTCAGGAACTTGGCTACGAAAACGAGACAGATATGTTTATCACCCAGAGCTACTCTAAACACTTCTCTCTGTGAGGGCTTTGAAAGATGAGCTTTTCAAGCCCCGTGTTTTTGCATTATACAACACTGGCATGACAACAAGATCACCGTCTCACCAAAGGCGTTTTGGTTTTTTATTGGTTTTGGTTTTTTTTAGTTTTAATGAAAACAAAAGTACGGTTAAGTCTTTGTTAGAAAATTTGCCTTACAATAGTGTTAAAGTAATGTAAACTAAAAAAGAAAAAAAAAGGAATCTAGTGTCACGTTAATCTAGCCCTGATGCAAAACTAACCTTCAAGCAAATGGGACACCCATGTGTTTATGGCTCAGTTGAATAGAAGTGAATGACCATTAAAAGACAGCTATACTAGTAATATCAAACCCAAAGTTTGCTGACAGAACTTCTCTGTTAGAAGTACTGGTAATTGCTGCGTGTGCACTTTTTCTGAAACAGCATACAACACACGTAGCTAAAAACTCCCATTTGGTATGATGCCATGTCAATATCGAGCACAGAAGAGCTCTAATTACTAAGAAGATGTCAGCCCTCAAGGGAATGTGATATATGTCAAAGAAACACCAGTTTCAGTGCCAAATCAGGGGGTTCTTGCATCTACCTATGAAATATGTAGGGACTTGTACATACAGTCAGTAAATACACTCCATAGTTTTATTGTTTTGACGATCTTGTCAACAGTAAGTTTCTACTGAGAAGAAGCTAGAGGAAAAAACTATAGGAGGTCAATAAAAAGATAGGGCTGAGCAGAGCACAGCATTCCACAGAAGAATTATGTTTTCATCATCTTTACGTAGTCAAGCACAAAGAGCAACAGTCGACAGATCCACCATTGTGTGAATCACTTGGCCAAACAACGCTTCAGGAGTGAAGAGGTGAGTCCGGCAGAGCAACGACGCACTGAAGGCACTACACTGCAAAAGCAGATTTGTCTGGCAGAAAGGGTGACATGTCATTGTCCATCTCCGACATATTTCCATGATTGTAGCCCATCTTTTCAAAAAAGTTTTTAGTCAATAGAATGTTTTTCATGACTGCCCGTCATCCAGATTAGAATGCCATGAGTGAAATTCAATTAACAATAAATTTGGTAAGAAGAATCAATTAAAACTAAGACCCAGGATACAAGATAAAGTGTTTCATCTCTTTATTAGTGAAAGCAAAAGCACTTCTGCAAGAAGAAAAATCATTTAAGGGATCAAGGCCTCACAGATGTTTTTGTGTACACCTTTTAAATTAAAAAAAAAAAGTTATTTTTCACTACCGTAAAGCAAAGAGCATATTCTGAAGAATTTATTGCACTTTGGTGTATATCTCTCAACCCTCTCTGTTGCTTTCAATTATTTAAAGCAAGCTATTGCTTGTCACATTCACTGAACCTTGACAACAGGGTTTTGGCCAAAGCAGGCTTGCGATTAACTGGTAACGCATTTCAAGCTCTTGTGAAGCATTTAACAGAAGCTAAAAATACATAAAACAAGGCACTGAAAATCTCTAGCACCCTGAAGTTCGTTTCCATGTGTCCACCAAGAAAAGCACTGTGATTACATGTATGCTCCCCAACTGCTGCTGTGCAGCAGGCCAAATCTTCCACTTAATATGATTTGATTCGGCATAAAAACTGCATTATAGCCTGAGTAAACACTGGATGGGCAAGGCCTATGTGACACAGGAAAGTGTGTACTGGACAGAAGAGGAAAGCAGGTGACAAAGGCTCCCAGCATCTCCAACCAAGGGCAACAAAAGTAAAAAAAAGAGTCAGGTAGAACTATAAAATTACCTAGGTTGGAAAAGACTTTTAAGATCAATGAGTTCAACTGTAAAAGTAACACAGTTCCTACCTTCATGTAAGCAGGAAAAGAATACCCAAAAAGAGCAAACACATGTGCCCTCCCAGGGAATATATCAGCAAATACAAACTACTGTGAAGCAATTCTTCCTAAGACAGTTCCCCTTCTTCACGCCTTGGTTTGTCTGCTCAGTGACTGACCTGAGTTTTAACTTTAGACAAAGAGCACGGTCCCATAGCTGGAGTGACCACGTGAATGAACTTGCTTAAAGTAGACCTTGAGTTAAGGCCCAGTAACAGAACAAGAAATAATGGGTTTAAGTTAGAACACAGGAAGTTTCACCTCAACATGAGGAAAAATTACTGAGAGGGTGACAGAGCACTGGCACAGGCTGCCCAGAGAGGTTGTGGAGTCTCCTTCTCTGGAGACTTTCAAAACCCGCCTGGACACGTTCCTGTGTGGCTGCCCTAGGGGATCCTGCTCTGGCAGGGCGGCTGGACTAGATAATCTTTCGAGGTCCCTTCCAATCCCTGACATTCTGTGATTCTATGAATCTATGAATTAAATGCTGCTCAGGACCTGTGCTACTATTTCCATATTGCTATAAATTTTCTGCAGGAAAACCATCAAGAATCAGATATACTGTTTCATTAGATTGAAACAGACCCATTTGGTTAGGAATATGAAACAGCGACTCACCTTTGGTTTTGATTTTTACAGCCTTTTGCTGCTTGAATTCTGTCCCAAGTATTTCATAGAGAGCAGTTAATTCTATCAATGCTAAAGAACAGACTTTCTTCATGTCCTGAGGGGCCAGGTCACCAATCTTTGTGGTACCTGTTTTGTCCTTCGGCAGCCTGAAATTCTAAAAGCAGAGAGATTTGCAGCAGAGTGAATAACCCGTGTTATAACAAATTACTTAGCTCAAAGGCTGTACTTCCTTCAGGGCACAACTTTTCATCACAAAACCTGCTGTTACCGACTAAATCAAGGGAGAATTCTCCAAATAGTTTGAAAAGTAGATGATTTTAAAATCATAGGAGGATTTAGGTACCTTGTGACTTCTGGAGGTCATCTACTTCAATTGCCCGCTCACAGCAAGGTTAAATTAAGACTGACGAGTTGCTTGTTGGATTGTCCAGTTGAATTCTGAACACTCCCAATAACCTATGTGTGCACCTGTTCCGGTGCTTAATGCTCTCATGGGGACTCTTTTTACTTTGCAAAAAAGAATTTCCCCTAGAGTCACTTGCGTGCATTGTCTCTTGTCCTTTCACTGCGCACCTCCGAGGACAATCTGGCTTTGTCCTGCTTGTAACCATCTCACGCTCCACACGCCCCCACCTTCTGCATCTTTTTGCCTTTTGTAGTGGTGAAAACGGCTGTCCATGAACAATCCTATGCATGTACAGCAGGGATAGAAATCCCACTGCACTTGTATGCACACAAAATGCCATATTCAGCTGTCGCATAAATAATATTAAGGAGGTTCCCTTCTTAGGGAAAGGATCCTTAATTATGGCTCCTTTCTACTGCACTGAATGTTCAGAAGCTGCAGTCAGAGACAAATAAAAGGAACTGAGACAAGAGAGTGAGGGAGAGTGACTTGCGAGCTCATAGGGCTTTCTAACTCCATCTCTCATCCACAGGTTTTTAAGATTCTCACCTTTGCCTGACATTAGCAGTGTGCATGACGCAAAGCGGGAAGGTTGACAAGACTTTCTTCCATTTGGAAAAATACTTTATAAGCCAAAATTATTTTCTCATCCAGTACAAACCCAGCAATAGCACAGATAAATTGGTAGCTACAATACATGATTACAGGGGTCCATACTAAAACATAAACAAAATTTACAACTTGTAAATGAGATATATACTCAGTTTCCTGTCTTGAGGTTTCATCAACTTGCATACACCTGTATGTTTAAAAATGGTGACAAAGGTGCCACAAATACAAACTGTAGATTTAAATAGGTAACTCCCTCCCTTTTCCTATCATTTTGCCACTCCTTTTGTTACTAAAGGAGAAATTCCATAGTCACGTCTTTGAGCAATTCTTCATAAGCCTAGCAAAAAGCATAGATAACGTATGCATTATACATACATGCATATATATCTGCACATATACAGAATTTAGAGTACAGCTATCACTTCCTTGTTATAGACTCCACTAGAGAATTATGACTCAAATACTTTAGAATCCATTTCTAAATATCCACTAGTGTCTGGTTTATAATGTTTGAACTAGGATACATGGGGTAACTCCCATTTGAAGAACTGCACATGTCCTTATCTAAATTAAGTGTTTGAAGAACTGTGAAACATAATTACTTCAGACACTATGTTTACTCAGACATGTTTGCATACCCTGCAAGAAAAAAAAGGCTGTTTTTCAAACCAGTCATTAGTTTGTATGTCATACGTAACTGCATGAATAGCTCATGAACTGTTAGATAGACATCCTCAAAGAGATGCCTGAGGATCAACAACAAAATGATCTGTATTTATTTGGATTCAGTCATAAGAAAGATTTTTTTTTTTATTAAGAGTTGGAAAGAAAAATTGACCACAAACTAATCCTTATTTTCCTGCCATTTGACTTTGGACTTCCTCAGACCATTCAGTTCTTCCTTCTCATCCCTCACATATCTGCACCATTTAACTGCAGAAGGTTTGCACAGGCATCTACCAATCCTTTTTAAACAACAATAGAGCTTTTTAACAGAGGTAAAGCATCTCACCTCAGATAACAGGAAAAGGGGCTTTAAACAAATGAAGTAAGGACACAGCTTGTGTACAATTACCAGTAAGCCACTAATTACTAGTCCATTACTGCTTACACACAGAGTACATTTTGTCAGACAATGGCATAAATAGGCAAAATAGTGGTTACTTCGATGTTATTCCCAAAAAATGAGTTATCTTGAGAAGGTGTATGTAGCACTACTGAAAACAAAGACTGGGAGCAATAAATAGGAAAAACCTACCGGGAGAAGAGTGTCACCTCCTCCACCCTTGCACATTTTGCCCACTGAGCTGTCTTTGAGATTAGCTGCCTGTTCTGCAAATGATATTTCCAAATTGATGTCAGTGTCTGGAAACTGCATGTCTTCAAGTGGGCTCTTCTGATCATCTGTTCCAAGACTGAACTTTGGATCTGAAAACAGAGCAAAAATCAACCTAATAATCAAGAGCAGCACAACCGAGCATCACTCAGTGCACGAGAGTGAGTTTGCAACCAAGTAGAAGTTAATGCTGTGCAACGGATGGACTTTCTGGTTGCAAATTCACTGACTTTTTTATGTCAGTTGAATATTTAGCTTCTTACAAGGGTCCACCTTTTGTAGTTTTTCTTGAGTAATTCTGCCTGGGCATGGGTTTTTCTCCTATTCATCTATTATGAAAAGATAATGCAATCCACCTCAAACAAATGGCAGAGTCCCAGAGCCAAACAGCTCTGGCATCAGAAGTTTCTTGCCATCACTTTCCGGCCTGCAACCAAATCAGCAATTCTTTCTCTTGTTAAAATTTCAAAAGCAAAAGAGAATGTGTCCTCTACAATTCAAAGCATTAACAACTGGGAATAACACGAAGTTCACAGATCATCTTTGTCCCAACATTCATGTCCTCACCTCAGTCTGAAGAGTCTAGATTCCTCAAAACTGTTTGGCTATGTTTACGTGATACAGGGAAGGACTAAGTACATACAATGGTCTTACTTCTCCTTCTTTGTTCCTCAAAGGAATCAAACACTACATAAATTTGGGACACTTTTCAGTAATAATAATAATAAAAAACAGAGGGAAAAAAGGGAGAAGCAGTTCTGCTTTTAGAAAAAGAAGTCTAATTTCATAGTGAATCAACCACTGCTTTTCAGTCTGAAGTTAAAATGTATCCTGAAAGAAGCAAGATGAAAATTATATTGTAAATAACACTATTTAATACAAAGCATCAAAGACAATTTAGCCAGCAAAATATTCTAATCTCTCCACCATCTCTCTTGTGATGTGTTGATGCCTGAAACTGCATCGGGAGGTTTAGGTTGGATCTCAGGAAGCACTTCCTCACAGAGAGGGTGCTCAGGCACTGGGATGCACTGCCCAGGGAAGTGGTGGAGTCACCGTCCCTGGAGGTGTTTAAGGAGAGGCTGGATGTGGCACTTAGTGCCCTGGTCTGGCCGATGTGGTGGTGTTGGGACATAGGCTGGACTTGATGGTCTCAGAGGTCTTTTCCAGCCTCAACAATTCTGTGATTCTGTGACCCTTCTCACTTTCCACAGACTCTGAAAGACGCTTGGGACATACACTAAAGATTAAGCTGATCCTGAAACTAGAGCTGCTCCTTTCGGTAAAGAAATATACAAGACCTCAGTAACCAAACATATTGAAGGTCAAACTTATCCCCGACTTCCATTTCTGGCCTCCCTGTGTGTAGGTCTGTACCCATCACGTAAACTGTTTAATGCATCCAAACTAAAGGAAAACAGTTCCCTGCCCCCTCAAAGCTTTTGTCATGGTAATAAGGCCTATACCTGACCTACCTCCTTCCTACCAGCCTGGGAGGGATCTGATGTTAACAAACAATAAAACAGTAGCTCCTATTTCGCTCCTCTGGTCATACCAAGGTGCCGTGTAAAGCAGATGTCTTGGTAGTGCTGTGCACATTTTAAACTAAGTCTGGAAATGCTGTTGCGGAGAGTTTCTTCTCAGTCGTACAGTCTTGCTCTGACTCTTGTGCGTTTATTAAACTAGGAAGAAGCTGTAGGAGGAAGGAGCTTTGGCGTTCTGCCAACCTGCCAACTACATGCAATATCTCACGGGAGAGATGCAAGTGTGATACAGAAAAATGTAAATATCGTCTATAAGGATGTGGAAACCATTTTTTTACATTAGTCATGTATCCTTTCCTCGATTCACAGTGCTATTTAAAGATCGCATAAAGTGACGGGAATTCTTTGGGAGCGGGATGGGCTTCCTTTTAATAGGACATGGAAATATTGGAAGTTCCAACCTTGCTATTTCCTAGTTTTTCTAGAGAATTTAGAGTATAATCCAATGCAGCTATGCTGACACACCTTAATTCATAATTGGAAAGGTTTAATGGCTCATTGGTTTTTTCTGATTGAAAAAGCACTTCTCTAAAATACTAATTCATAGATGACTTTAAACAGAAAGTAACAAACTCTGTAATCTTTTCACTAACACCGTATCACTCCAGCCATAGATTCCTCATTTATCACACGAAATGAAAAGCAGAAACAAGCCATTTAGCGAAATATAACATTTCAGGCTTTTTCCATATCAAGAGGCAAACACTACAGCTTTTTTACTTCATATTACACATAGTACACACGATTCTTCCATCCACTCACTAGATCATTATGCTTTGAAGTTCCCTTATATGGAGGTTTTACCTAATATTCTTTCCCTGCAGCTAAACGTGTCTTCAGAAGGACAACTGCAGTCTCACAGTAAACTGATTTTGCTGCTCCCCTGTTTAAGCACCCCAGGATTTAGATTTTCATTTGCTTTATTCTTCCCTTTTTATTTCTTGAGATGTCTCAACCAACACAGTTGTTTACTCCTTTTCACAGGCATCCAAAGAGAAGTAATTTTTTTTATTTTGTAGATATTGAACATACTGTTACTTTTGCAGGTCTTTAGTCAGCATTATGGCTAGTTAAAATGATAATGGCTTTTGACAGATTAATACATGTTTTTGAATTTTCTTCTGGTTTCCTGTATACATGTTCTATACCTACATGAAACAAAGAGGCACTTAAAGCCAGTAAGTGAGGGTCCTTCCAAAAAAACTCAAATATGCATCTACCAAAAAAAAAATCTTAAGAACTCGTTAAACTGTTCTGTTTGAGGAAGATCAGGCAAAAAAAAGAATAAAAATGCAAAGATTTCCTATTATTCCCTGAGTTTGCTTACATTGTTTAGGCAAGAAAGAAGGTGTGTCAGATTGGCAAGAAAGGAGTGAGCACAGGTTCACACAGCCCATTGTATGCTCTAAGGGCAAACCACTAATGTCTTCAGTCTGGCAGAAGCACTTGGGAATGCAGCATTCAAACATCAAATTAGGAGAAGGGCCAGAGTCATTCAATCTAACAGTTTTAAGACATCTCATTTCACCTTCGGATTTTTTTTTTAATAATGTCTGAGGCTATATTCATATGTTTCACGTAAAGCCGGTACTGCTTTTCTGTCAAAGGGAGGTAAATTTTAAAATAATGTCTTTGGATTTCATAAATATTTAGTATCTCTGAGATATCAGGCACTGTTTACTTTTTGCCCTAAATTCATTCACTGTTTGTATAACACTAATTTGCTCATCATTCTGGAGGAAAGATCACAGCGCAGCACTGAAGCAGGTGCGGTGCTTTTAACGCCACCGAACTTGCATGGTTTGACTGCAAATTGAACCAATTTTTTTGATTCCCGCTCCCATCCTGCGAGCGGAGCCCACTTTAGAATGTTGACAGGAGCAGAAGTGTATCAGGATGTAAGCAGGCTGCATTTGCCATCCACATCGCAATCTGTGCTGAGGAGAGCTAGCATATGGGATTTGCTTTTCAGAACTTCCCTTTTCTGAAGCATTCATCAGGACCACTGGAAAAAAAGGAACCAGATGCGATAAAAACTCTGTAATAATTGCTTGGTAATTTTCCAGCTCTGAATCCTACAGTGCAGTTTATTGACACAAGCACCAGGCATCTCTTCCTTCCTTCCTTTGTGCTGAACCAGCAGTCTGGCAGTCCTCCCAATTTTTTACTGCACTATTGGAGTGACGTTTGCTGAGGGAGAGGGAGGGAAGAATTAACAGCACTTCTGGAAACACAGAGGTTTGGTGATATTCAGGGCTGGTTCGTATTCATCTCTCCCACTTCAACTTCCATGTACATCCTGTATTGTCCACTGCTGTTTTCTAAGTCTCATTCTAAAGTAATAACTTTTCCAGAATACTACTAGCAGAATTTTATTTGGTGGCTTAATTACAGATAAGTAACTTGCAGTAGGGAACTTGATCTGCCTACTTGACTATTTAAGTGGCTATAGGGTTCAGTGTAACACCTATGTGCTATTCTAGTCCCCTGGAAGAAGAATAAAAAATACAACTTACAAACAACACGGAATAGCAATGCAGTGTCTTAAAGCTTCAGGGGCTGCCAGATAATATCCTGATCTCTGTGGCAACGGGTATGGTGGAACATGGTGCAAGCCCTGTCTCAAAGAAACCTAAGATGATGCAGGGCAGCCACAACTTATTACTGGACCTGAAGATCATCTGAAAGCTTTGTCCAAGTTTCTCATCAAAATTAGTACTCTCGAAGCAGGAACTGTGGATTCAGCTAAAGGCTTCTGTGGTGCTCTGTCCCACCTGCCAGTGAGAGGGAGGTGTCTTCCACAGGTACTGTGCACCCCTCTGGTGTCACCACAAACTGCTGAACACAACATAGTCCTACACACACAGAATGCTATTTCCTTTCCATTTCCCTTAAAAAGATAAACATCTTTTTTCCTTCATCCCTGTTTTTTCTTTCATTTTGAGCTGCAGATACGTAGCCAGTTCTCACATTTTTTCGGGATGTTTATAGTCCATTTGGTTTCGTTCTCTTGTATGCACTGATGGGCTTATATATAGTACTTCATTTCCTGTACTGTACAGCAAAGATAAACCAGACGGGAGAAATTAAGGATCAGGAAAAACCTAAGCATAAGCTATGAGAAGAAACTTCTCTCAGATGCCTTGATTATAAGATGATCACTGATAATAAAACAGGTTTCCCAGATGGCTCAAAGGACACTATCTACAGCCTCACCTAAAAATTTTGCATCACAACAACGCAAGTTAGACAGGTTTCTCATGATAATTTCATTTTCTTTTGCTGAAAGGTTACTTGAAACACGGACCTATGTAGTAGCTTGTGTCGCTGGAAGCATACAAACCCAAACAAAAGTATAATTTTTTTTAAGTTATTTGGCATTACCTTTTGTTTCATCTTGTGTTTCATTTTTGTTTTCACTTGTTTTCGCCGTTGAGGGTTCATTTTCATCGTAGACCTAAGAAAGGAACAATAAATATGCATGCCTATAAAAACCAAATGCATGACTGTAGAAACTCTTTTGACTCTGTGCAGGATTAAAGCACATACTCCTGCAATTCAGGGATATGCAGAAACACATCTGTGTGTTTCAGCAGAAGAGCCTTTGCCAATGTCAAGAGGATCTGAAATCTATGTAATTTAAAAAAGAGTAATTAAGTCCATTCCCCCTATTCCTACAAGGCTAAGTAGGTTTAAAACGTAATTTTCCAGAGTTCCAAAGCATAAGAAAATGGTAGTCTTTGACAGTCTGCACAGGAAAAGAAATGGAAACGGAATCTGGAGGAGACATTTTAACTGACCCAGTAAAAAGTCCTTCCTCTTGCAAAACCTTACATTCTTGCCTCCCCTACAGAGCAATCCCATCCCCTTTACAGGGCGGCCTCACATTAATATCTGTGCTTACAGCTTAGATTCCCAACAGCTAAGAGACAACAAACCAGGAAAGGATTTGAACCGCCTTCTTATTTCTACAGTGCTGCACTACCCAGACTCAAGATTTGTCACACCCTAAGAACTGAATGACACCTACTATAGAAAAAAATGTTTCAGAACATGTAGAAAATATACACCATATATATGAATATACATATTCTCTTTACCAACACACATCTGTGTATTTACTCCTTTTTTTAAACCAGGGATGTTGAGAGGCAGAAGAAGATAGCATGACTGCCCAGAAAATTATTCCTGTTTCACAGAGCAGTAGAAGCAGACTGGGAAGCTGTCAAGGAACCAAAAGTCTACCTTCTCTTTGGGAATATGGCAGGAAACTTAGTAGAAACATCAACACAACTGGTGCATTGATGCAAAACATCAACACTATTGTTTTACCTTTCCTCCTGCTTTCCTCCAGGTGAAGGGAGGTTACAGGATTTTCGAAGGCTATTATTAAATTGGAGTGACTTCATACATCTGCAGATGGCTCCAGTTCTCTTTTGTTACATAAAAAGCTGTCTAATGATGGCAGAGTGACAAAGCACTGAGATAAGTTACCTAGGGACATTGTGGAAGCTACTTCACTACAGGCTTTCTGTGACAGATTAGATGAATAACCACAAGCAATAATTTCTGAATAATTATCTTGCTTTGAAAAAAGATATGCGGTATAGGTTTGAGGGCTTACACTTACTTCAGTCAAGGAGACAGGTTTAGAATGATTCTTCTTTTCAGTTATTTCTACATTTAAAAAACTAATCCAACTTTCTGTTTTATACATCTTAAATGGCTACAATCACTCGTCTTTGCATTACTTCTCACTGATGTCATCAGTATCAAAAGAAGTAGTTTAAGAAAAACTGAAGTCTACTGAACACCATGATATATCTTCAAACATTACAGTCTAAAGCTTAAATAGAGGAATAGGAGTATTTTTTGTGCTTTACTGAAACAACATATTTGAAAGAGAAATTACACTGCTTTAAGCTACAGATATCCTACCTAAATTGCTCTGCCATTAGATCTTGTAATTTTTAGGTGTAGTCAATTCCAAATCAGGTCTCAGAACGCTTTTATGGAGTTAATATCCCTTCTGCAATCACATGCCAAACAGAACAGTCAAAGGGAAGTTGTGCCTCCAGAACCTAACATGTGAGCTTACAAACTCCCTCCACCACTACACGCTATCTCTACGGAGTTCGAAAGGCCTTGCCAAAGGAGAGGAAGCTGTTGAGGGAAGGAGGAAGTTAAATCCCCTCAAAATGCACCACCACCATCACACTGAATGGCAGCAGCGAGAACGAGGGACAGGGCGGAGATCAGGTAAGCCAGCCACGTGCTTCCATCAGCTCAGAGGCTTCTTACAGCTGAAGATCTCGTTGCTTTTAGGGGAACAGACAAGGCACGTGTGCTTCTCCACAGAAGACGAATTCTAATCATAATCTCTGCTTCCCTCCTTCCCCTTTCCTGTGCATGGGAGAGGAACTCTCCGCTCTGATATCCCACAAGAGGAAACTGAGACCCTTCAAGATCTGTCAGAGCAACTTCCCCCACACACAGCTCAACAACACACACAGGCCCTCAGAGTTAGTACAGAGTCTAAGAACCCAGCTGACAGGCATAAAGATCTAGCCCAAACAGAGGAAGTCAGGACGATGTCCTTTTAAAAAAAAAAAAAAAAAAAAAAAAAAAAAAAAAAAGAAGAAGGAAAAAGGAACCAAAAAAAAAAAAAAAAAAAAAAAAAAAAAAAGAAACAAGAGCAGCAGTAAGTAAGAGGTACCTCCCCCTACCTACCTGGCAGGGCCCTCAGGGTGGCTGCAGGGCACTACCACCCAAAGATAAAAGTGGGCTTTTGGTACCTCTTTGGGTGATTGCTATCACTAGTTCTGCGTCTGTGTTGAAATTAATTCAGATTAATATCTTAATATCTTGAGTTGTTTTCTTCATCATCTTTAACCAATATGACATCAATATATATACTCCTTTCTATAGATTGAAATTGTTTAATGTAATATTAAGTCTAGACCAACACTATTCCCACAAATTCAATAAAAAAAGTCATTGGAAATCAGTGAAAAGTTAGAGACAAATCTTCTGGAAATATCCTTTTTGTGCCTGTGTATTCCTCTACTTCCCCTGCCATCCCTATGTGCCTTTCTCTTCTCTCTACCAGAACCAAAGAAACAATGGACAGGAACTTACTTTTCCCTTTGAGTCGTTTTGTAGCCGGAAGATATCCCTGACATCAGGAATCTGGTACTGCTTGTTTTTTTTCCTCATGGTTTGTGTGACAGTCTCTACTCGCTTTTCTACCGCTGCCTTCTGGGTTCGAGTCAGTGTGGACAGAAACACCACGCTTTCCTGGGAGTCGCCAGAGCTCTCGCCAAACAGATTTGACAGACCTGCCTCCTTCAGCCATTCTTCTTCCAGCTCTCCCTCTGAGTAAGATGATGAGAAAAAGGCATAAACATTGGCTTTCGAGTACTGTTAAGGACAATGGATGTTAACGACAGGACACAGTTAATGCAGTTCACAGGGAAAGTACTAAAGGGAATAATTACACTATCATGACTTCAGAAAAAGCTCTTGTTTCTAAAGAGCTTCAAAAGGGTTACACACGCTATCAAAGTTTTTAAAACAGTTAATCCAATACAGATTGCTATGGGGCAATCTTTATAATAATCTACAGCACTAGAAGTGCTGTAGATCATATACCATTTTATAGATGTACCAAGATATAAATGTGTATGGGGAAATCTGAGAGCCTCTGATCATTGCCACTTCCTTGACTTTTAGATCAATTTTCAATCTTTTAAGCTCTCTCACTGACGTGGTTCTGCCCACTCTTCTTGATACATTAATCTTACAGCCCTCCACTAGCTCAATTTAATGAAGGACAAACCAGGCTACAGGAATCACCTTAATGCTATTTTTATATCAGTTCTTAAAAAATGGTCTGACAGCCCACAAAGCAACTGTTGCTTTAGTCTTACAGCTGATAAGGTATTCTTTATTGACAGATCACTGAACATGAAAGAGGAGAAAGCCATTAAATACTATCACTGGCAGCAAAGCTTGCTTCTGCTTCTGAAGTCAGTATCGAAGGATACTTTCTTTAAAACACTAAGTTCTGTCTGTAGCAGCTGAGCTTGTGCTGAATGCCAACAACTCTCTCAAATGTTCAATTTTTATTTATCAGATACTTAAAAGTACTCCAAAGTTGGCATGTAAATTCACTTTTGACTGCAGTTTCCCACAGTGCCCAGTGCATATTCAAGTGGGCACCTGAATATTAACAGCATTCAGAAAACAGAAAATTTTAAGTATGAACTTTGCTCTGGCTATGAAGCCAAATTCTCCAGAGCAGATGTGAGCAAGGTATATTTGATTTCTCCCATCTTGCCTTTGCAAGGCCTCGTCTCAAGCAAGCCCCAAACCAGGCAGGCCCATCAGCCAGGTGCAGCGTACCACACATCCAGGAGGACTCATACCCAAGCAATTTGCTGCACATTAGGCAACGCTGGGGGCAGAGCAACATCTGTGCGAGCTGATCAACTCCACTGGGCTGACTCACTCAGGCTTCATGCCAGAGTCTGCGGCTTGAGCTGGAGTGGTAACTGGGAGGAAGAAGGCTATATATAAATAAAAAAGGAAATGGTGGGGTTTGAAGTGCAGAGCCTGAAGGCATAGCTGCATCAGTGAGCTGGGGTGAGAGAAAAGGCCCATGCACTGCAGAACGATGGGCCCTGCTGCTCTGAAGACAACTTCACAGCTCCTCCATCAGATACCCTGCTCCCCAGGCGCAGGGGCTCAGAGCCTTGCTGCTTTCTCCAGAGGTCACGTGGCTACTCTCCAGAGAACCTGCGGATAGTGGTGACGTTCCAAAACGCCTGGGGAGGCAAAAGTTCAAATCCCTTTCAAAGCTAACAGAGCACATTCTTCTTGCTCATGTAGAGGCCAAACCAAAATGCAAAACTCACCATTTTAACTTACTGAGGCCGTGAGCCTCTTGTAAGAATGGGAGAGAGGCAGATATTGCACGCTTAAAAAGTAATTTTTAAGAGAAGAGTGGAATTAAGGGCATTACTCCTCTTTTGTCTGATAGGAGAAGAAAAATAAAGAAATTGCCCAACTTCTTTTAAGAAGTGACCTCAGAAGTGACCCATAATTGATGGCTCTGGGAAACAAAAATAGTACAACTGAACAGTCACAACAGTTACAAGCATAGAAAGTTACTCACTAAACTTAAACCGGTTAATCATTGGCTTGTCTTCTAAAGCGTGAGGTTTCTATCCACAATAGCTACAATAACGAACAACATATACGAAGAGCGAAAGGGTAAGTTAGTTTAACAGTAAACTGCAAATAAAGCTTCAGCTGTTGTGATTTGCAAGTACAAGCACTTCTCTGATGTTCTGCAAATACCGTTTAAAGGAAACCGGCCTTTTACTTATCTCCGGTACAACTCTCTTTCAGGGCACTGCCTTTTCTGGTGATATGCATCAGAGGCAACAAAATTTTCAAAATGGATGTTCAGCAAAGCGACCTCCTTTTTGATTTAAGGATGGTGGGTGTCATCTCTTGAAATAAGATTTGAAGAAAAATCCCTAAATCAGCAAACTGATGAGCATTCACAAGAACAAATTTCATTACCATCTGGCTCTTTCACTACAATTGCTACTCGGTCCTCATGATTATTTCCTCTGGTTTCATGGATGTTTTCAAGTTCTTTCCAGTAGTCATCCATAGACAGTTCATCCAAGGAGTCCTGGGATCCTGAGCGGTCAAATGATGCTCCATCGGGGGTCTTCTTGGAATGGTCATGGTTCATTGTATACTGGCCAGACCGACGGCTATAAACATAAACCAAAACACAATTCTTGGTTAGCATTTTAGGATACAGGATACATTAATTTCTATGAAGGCAGTTAGTAATGAATTGTATCAAGCCAAACTGCTGTCAACAAACAAATCAAGATATTAAAAATTACTTTTAATATCTTATATTAAAATTTATAGTAAAAATTACTTTTAATATCTGGAATATATTTTTATTTTAACACTTCTGCTATACGTATCTCCTAATCTGGAATGACACAGAAGTCTGCATTAAAGAAGAAATTATAAATCCAAGTTCTAACAATCCTAGTTACACCAAACCTCTCATTCACAACAGTCAGTTCCACAAACTTCATAGTATGTTTCTTCCTAGCATCACACTCATAAACAATTTTTCAAAAATGCCTTTCTGCCTGAGTAAACTCTCATACCTTGACAGTACCCTTACTTTTTTATATTGCTATTCTGCTTTTATTTTTTATTAATATTTTGTCTGGTATCTACGACCTTAATTACAGCTGGAAAAGGACTGAGTAGAATTCCTGAAGGTACAGTTTCTGACATAAACTGGTGAGTCCAAATTTTTAATAAAGGCCACTATTTGTTTCTACCTTGCTAACGCTTTGACTGAAAGTTTACCCTTTTTATAGTTTGACGCTACAGGTTTTTGGTGGCATCCTGCCAAGTGTATGTTGCAGAGGCTTTCAGAAGAGATCGTTCATCTTAAGTATAGTTGTGAGTAGAAAGAAGAAACAACAAGCTGAACCCTCTAGGTATCATCCTGACCCAATTAAGTCATTGGCAAAAATTACCACTGATCTAACAAAAAATTTCTCTTAAAAAAGTGCAAAGGTTATAATGATGTCACTGCAGCTACAGGTCATCCTTACAGTTGAATATATCAAACCAAAAGCCACAAACACATTCAGAGTATCAGGAGTAGCAACCTGACCTGATTTCAGAGTTGGCCTTACTTTGAGTGGGGGGCAGATTGGACCAGATGATCTCCAGCAGTCCTTTCTGAACTACGTAACTCTACTACTATGACAGCATATTAAAATCGTTCTCATATTAAAAAATAGTAAGTTCTTAACACTTCAGGAACAGTTTCAGATGTCTTATGCCTAGATTTTTTTTTAAAAAAAGAAGGCATGGTTTTGGGCTAAGTAATAAATATCACATTCTAAGAGAGAAAACCATATCAAAGATCAACCATGGTCGACTTAATTTACTGCATTTACATTATGATAAGTCCTACCTTCCTATTTGGCTGACTTTGCAAGTTTATGTCGAATTAAAACAAAAGCACCTCGTCCTTACATTTTATCTTGAGACAACTGACGCTTGTTAGCTGCCCCTTAGTGAAAAGAAAACATACCTTTCTTTCTGAAGATAAGCCCCTTGTGTGCCCAAGTCACAAATCCTTTCACACCATACGTGCTTGATTCTCTGATAAGAAATACTAACTATATGGACTTTGCCTTTAAAGGTAAAGAGCCTTATGGAAGGGCTACGCATTTCCACCTGTCCTGCCTCCCTAGCCCAGGTGCAAGTTAATAAATGACAATGAATTACCAAGCTAATATGCACCCCAACACTATTCCTCACATGGAAGCCCAGCAAAAAAAAAAAAAAAAAGGTACACAAAGGAGTATTTAGCTTTTGCATCAATGGCAGTAACAGTATCTTGCTAGTTGTGCACAATACCCAGTAAATAGAATTTCTCCCTGTAGCTGCCCTCAGTTCTTAAACTTCTCCTGACAGGTGTGTCCCATGTGTGACCTGTGTTGCTTGTGAATCCAACATTAATCACTGCAGAAAGACGTTCGTGGGCCTGCATCGGAAGCACGCCCAGCAGCCAACATCAGTGTGCGGAGTGTGGCCAAAGCAGGTCAGGCTTCCCAGCCCTTGCCCAGGCGTCCCTCCTCCTGCAGCTGAAGGTGCTCAGAGCAGACTAGGTCCCTCTCACAAACAGAGCCTGTACACTTGAACTGCAGCTGGATCAGGGCCAGATTTCATCTCATCGTCCTTCAGTTTAACACCACGGAGCTGCTCGGCAGCTCTTTGGTGGCCCTTTCACCTTTGGAACAACCTGCTCTCGCTGACCCACCTTGGCTGAAATTTAACCACCCCAGCACACTGGTTAAAAGATAAAACAAACAGATCGAACTCGTTAAAAGCATGTGCTCCGAGGGGCTCCAGCAGGCTGAGCTGGGAAACGCTGCAGCAGGCAGCGGCTCCTTACATTCCCCAGATCAAGTCCTGTCTCAGAGAAGTCTGTGTCCCAAAATGCAGAGATGATACTCAACACATAGCACTCAAGGCCACTTTCAGGGGCCTGAAGGCATTTGCTGTACATTAAAAACCACTCCATTAGCTCTCAGATCACCATTCCCAGGCCTGCTCTACTCCTCCAAACATAAGCTGCTTTTCTTCTAAGGCTCTTCCCGGCCCAACCTCTCCCACTCTCATTAGTGACTCCCAATTCTGACTGGGCAGTAATGCCACTTCTCATAGGATCATAGAATGTTAGAGGTTGGAAGGGACCTCTAGAGATCATCCAGTCCAGCCCCCCTGCCAGAGCAGGATCCCCTAGGGCAACCACACAGGAACACGTCAGTGAAAAAGTTTCTCCTCATGCTGAGGTGGAACTTCCTACATTCTAACTTAAACCCATTATTTCTTACTCTACTGCTGGGCACCACTGAGAAGAGATTGACCCCTTCCTCTTGACACCCACCCCTCAGGTATTTATATACATTAATAAGGTCCCCTCTCAGCCGTCTCCTTTCAAGGCTGAACAGCCCCAGCTCTCTCAGTCTCTCTTCATACGAGAGATGTTCAAGTCCCTCAACCATCCTCGTAGCTCTCACAAAAGCCCTTTCAAGAATTATTCACACAAAAACACTCAGCGCTCTGCTGCAAATCTCTCCTTCAAGCCCCACGTTGCTTTAGGCCAACTCACACACAGCTGGCAGCCCCAGCAGCACTGGGGCTCTTCAGGAGCCAAGGTCGGTGCCGCACCGCTCCAGCTCCACTCGCCCAGTCCTTGCCTTCCCTCATCAGACACCATCAACCCTCTACCTTCAGTTTCTGTTTGGATTGAAAACCCTTCCAAAGGCATCTGCATTTATCCACAGCCACAGTTCACATGAGAGAGAGGCTCAGGCTGGGAGAGCGCAACTGCTAAAACGTCAGCTGGCAGAGCAGGTCAGAGCCTGTGTTCACTCCACTTGGTTCAAGGTTTCTCGCTTTCCAAACCCCACCTGAGAAAGATGCTGCTGATGCAGCATTTGGTGAATAACCCACACAGCAGGGGGATGTCCCTCCTAGGAACCTCTGTGCACAAAGAGGCACAAACAAGAAAGACCCTCTGAGGATAATGAGGACAGTCTTGGTATCATAGGGTTGGTGTAGATGAGAAAAGAAAAAATAATTTCAAAAAATGTCACAACATAGGGAAAAACAGGTTGCCATGTAAGATTTTTATTTTTAGGTATCTGCTGTCAAGACCAAGAACATAGGACTTCTGCTGTGACCTCCCAGTAAATTCAATCCTTCTCTGAACATATGCTTACTAAGCACTAGTTGCATATCAAATGGTAAAACCTCATAGGTGGAAACTAGTTAGGACCAAGAAAAAAAGAGAGAAGAGGAAAAGAAATCATTCTTATATTATAAGGAATCTGGAAGATATATGCTTTTTTAAATAATTAATCTCGCATTCACAGGAAGACTCCTGATTCAATACAATCTCTAAAAAGCATTTCAACTACCATGGCCGTGCTTGGACATCTCTTTTATTCCCTAGAAGAAAGTAAGCTACTGCTAACCAACACAGTCACTTCAAGTAACTTTCAAACATCACATGGGCATTTCAGATTACTAAATGGTGAATTTACTCTCCACCAGATTACTCTTTTTTTCCCCCTGATAATTTGTATTTCCATTAAGGTCTTCACTAACAACTCTCTCAAACTCTATTAAAATCTTATTAATATCTATTTTCAATCATTAGTAAATAGCTTACTATTCAAATAGCTTTACAGGGACCAGTGTAATACTCTCATTTCCAAATTACAGTCAGTTCTGACCTCTGATACTCAGGCACGTGCCCTTTGCAGCCGATGAGATTTTTGCCTATTTATCTCAGTAATAAAACTGAGACTCCAGGTATAAAACCCATTCTTTAATACAGTTACTGCAGTCTCTTACCAGACTTAAGTTTCTTTTCCCATCCACTGGAGATGCATTTATTTACTAGAAACATTATGGATTAGAGACAAAGTACCAGCTCTTCCAGAGGGGAGCCATTAAAAACAGTTCTTGTAATGAACACCATTCATTACATTCACAGGGAAAGAAACCAGATTTGGGTTATCTCACTAAGCACTGACGAGCTTCGTGTTGTGGTAAGTACTTAACGGACGAGAACTGCGCACAAATATTTTCTTCAGCCTTTCCTTTCATGACCTACTGTGTCCTTTCTCAGCAGGTAAGAAAGTACAACTCTTCACATTAATCACTGTTTTACACCATAGCAATGTGCTTTTTTTCAGGTTCCATCAGCCTAATTTTGATTTCATCAATAATCACTTTATCCCAGTGCAGTTGTCTTTATTCCTTACTTTTTTTTCCTGTGAAATTTCAATCTCCCTGTCTGTTCCAGTGCCTTTTTAGCAGTTCATAACTGCTACTTGTCATGTGTAAGCTACAGCTGCTAGAGATTAATCAGTTAGTAAGGTGCACTTTGACTTGCATTTCAGATAAACTCAGTCTGCAGAAAGCTAATTTTGTCCTTACTTCCATTTTTCTCACTCAAAAATTAAGGACGATGCTGTGTTTTAAAACAGTGAGTGATCAGAAAAAGATAGTATTTGTCACTTCTATAGTGCTAACCATGAATTTTAGATCTGGATACGATGTTTCCACACCGCTACACAAACATCATAATTGTATGCTATCCTTATGTACTATATCTATATATGAGTGTGAATGTATTAGATGTG